CAAACCATGCAAGCTTCTTCAAGCTATTTACAGTACACCAAAAGGGCCTTGTCTGCATCATACGACATCTCAGACCATACCAGCTTCATCAAGCTACTTACAGTACTTCAAAAGGGCTTTGTCAGCAATACAATCAATACATGTGGCACTAGATCTTGCGAATATCATCTTGATATCAACTCTTGAGTTGTAGTTTTTTCATAACAGATAGAAATCACTGAATTAGGACATATCAAATGCATAATGAAGGCTATTATAAACACTGTCTTAAATCAATACTCTTCAACAAAATGATCTGAACCGAATCAGGCTATCATATTTATCAGCATTGGAATACATTATGTACAAATTATGGAGCATCAATAATATGCATTTATCTTATGTTCTTCATTTCTACGTATTTGAAAATACGTCCAGAATTTGGAGCATAAAAACCGCTGTGGCTAAACAAAGGTTTTATTGAATAAAATTTTTTACTAAAATAAAACGATGTTTCATCATTTTTTGAGTTTATATCAGGAACATCAGGAACTAAATATTCAATTACATGTACACTGTACATTATTTCCAAGATTCTAAAACAACTTCAGTAAAAGGAAACTAGCTATATGCAGTTCTATGCATCAATAACATGAAAAAGTCACAGTACGATGTAGAATTGTAAAATTTTAGAACTGTCCGAACCACATCATGAAATTCATATACAATTAGCTTCTAAAATAATGTGTCTCGTTACTATAAATTAGAAACAGTGGAACTTTGTTCATAATTGCTACCAAATACCAAGCCATCATATGGATATAAAATTATATATACATGTACCAGGTACGTACGTGCATTAATTACTATCGTGACTTAACTAGAATTATACTCATTCTCAAGTAACACATGTATATATATCTATTATTTTTTCTTTTCTTTTCTTTTTTTTTTTACAAAGCTTAATTCAAGCTGAAAAACGGACATTAATCTGTGTTCAAATGCTTACCAGATTCTCTGTTCTGTGCGTGCCTCTATCTGCTGTTAGAGTCGTAGCCGTAGCTTACATAGTCCTATGGTCTATGAGGCTTAGTAACAATGAAATAAACAGAACTGGCAGAAGATAAGACGTTGACAAACGTTTTAATCACTCAAGCTTTCAGGAATTACGATTAACAGACTAAAACTTTGTTGCCTTAATGTGAAAGACACAGAGTGAGCTTATATGGTCCCCTTTACCATGTTTACCCTATCGTTAATAATATAAACAGTGTTTTTAAATTCAAATGTTATTTTTATACTTTCATTCTTTCTTGAGAAAGTCGCAAATAAGAAATTACCAGTTTGTAGCTGCACCTTCAAATGTGCCAATTTTTCCTCACATGGAATCCAAACGTGTCAGATACTAGTATGCCCGGAACCTCGACTCTATTTGTTTGTGGATAATCAGCAACTGTTTCTACATGAAGCTAAGCGTTCGTCTAGTATAGACTGATTTCTTTCTCCGATCTAAGCGAACATAAGTCTGTTGCAATGTAGCAGCGAACTTCGAATAACTTAAAACACCCGAAAATCTACCTTATACGTGACTGAATCATGCGTAGCACGGATTCAACCTATTCACCCGTAAACAAATAAACAACCAATCGATCTCCTTTATCGATGGACTTAATCTGCATACAAAACAAACACAGGTGTTTTACCATAACTTTTATAAATATATAAGACCATGACCAATTTTGCTCTTGTTTATTGTGAAATCACAAATTTCTGTCGGGAGTCAGAAGAGAACCACAAGTTTATGTCCTACACGAAATGTAAAAATTTGACATGCATAAATACTTTTAAAAAAGTGTTTCTTCCACAAAATCAAATCCCCGTGAACCAAGAGTTTTTTCCTAAAACCACGAAAATTTTAGATTTTACATTTAATTTATAAATTTTGATTTACCAGTATTTTTAATTTGAGTTAAAAAAAAAATACCTTACATGTATGCCGAAGAAATTTTAATTGCAAGAGATTAGAACCAGCAAAGACACATAAATTTTTATCAATAAGACACTCAGTAAGCCAAATATTGAAAAATTCTACCCAGAGAAGGTAGAATTTTTTGATATTTGGCTTCAAACTGAGCATCTGATTGATTTGATAGAAATTCAGGTGCCTGTAGAACCAGTCAATTTATAATCGATTTCATTTGAATATATTTTATTATGTAATATTACATTTGCAAATGTTTTCCTTTATATAACACTACTGAAAGCAATGCGTATCTATAACTGTATAAATACAGGTACGGGGTCACAAGTTCATAGATGTGCGTAAGGATAAACGTTTGACGTAATTTCTCAGTGACGTCATAAAGGATCGACGCGCGTTCAGTGGATTACACACTTGCCGTTGGGTTTGAAAAATAATGAATTTCGCACGTTAAAAGTCACAATCTGGCAAATATAAAGTATCAATAAGTCACAAATGTAAATATAAGTAATAAGGTATCATTTTAAAACATCTATCGGGCTATAAATACGGGTTGGTACGAGATTAAATTCATCATAAAGCCCTTTGGGCTTTATGGAATTTAATCTCGTGACCAACCCGTATTTATATCCCAATAGATGTTTAAAAATGATACCTTATTTCTTAAATAAATACATAAATGGTTTAGCAGTAGGCATAACTAGAGCATAATTTATAACCCTCTCCATTTGTAATCAATGAGCTATCTGTTCTTTAACAGAAGAATGAAGATAAAAAAGCAGAAGAAAAACTGAAGGTTTGTTTGGAGTTGAATCCCAAATTGTGGGACGTACATGCTACATATGGACACTTCCTAATGAGAAAACAGAGGTTTAAAGAGGCAGCACAAATGTTTAGAAAGGTAGGGAAAATAAGTATCAAAAAGGTACCTCTAATGTCATATTAAACAATGCTGGAAATGATTAAAAATTTCACGTTCTCTGAAATTTTCAAAATTGTTTTTGAAATTTTCGATTTCTCGGTTACCATTTTCTATCTTTTACATGAGAAATGAGAAATTGTTGAGGATATTAAATGGACATTAACTACTTAGATTCCTTATTTTTCGCAAGTACTTATTATCACAAAATGGCTATTCGATCAACATCAAAGTGCAAGAATAATTTTTTCACAAATGGAAGATTGATCGAAAGAATTTACATGGATTTCAGTGCCAAAAAATCACATAGAGTAATTTTATTTCGTGAGCGTTGTTTCATGCGAAATGATGTGATAATTTCAAAAATTCCTTGCCTATAATTAGAAATTCACAGTATTATGTATCTTATTAATTTGATCAATTTACAGGGAACACAAGTAAAGCCAGAGATGATTCCGTTCTGGGTAAATCTGAGGAACGCCCTGCAACAAAGCGGTGACAACAAAGGGGTAAGGGAGACAAATCTGGTTATAGAAAGGCTTCAACGTGAACAGTAGGACAGGCAGTGATAATAATTATAGTGCTCATTTATACCAGACACAAGTTCAAAGTCACAAAGTGATAATAATAGTGCTAATTTATACAAGTCACAAGTTCAAAGCCCCGATGCATGCATCGTGGAGCATATCATGAAATTGTTGTATTTAATTTTTTTTTCTTAAGTTTTATTTTAAATTGTTGTTTTTTGTGTTTTTCATGCATGTGTATGCAGAAAAAAAATTTGTCTCATTTCTTGTGGTTAGAAAGGGAAAGAATTTTAAAGTGGATGGAAAGGGGAATTATGTATTACATCATGATTTTATTTTTTCATTTCATTAGTGTATTTATGGGGAGATTATGTATGGTTATTGCATTCCAATTTAATTTTTTTTTTTTCAAATGACATGTTAATGTATATCATTGGCTTTCTGCAGCTATTACATTTTATAATTGGTGTGAAATGAATGAGAGGCAAATATTGTACATGTAAGTTGTATAAAAATGTGACACAACTTAGCATAATATAATTTATTATGTCAAGTTTCATCAATTCAGTTCAAATGGTTCACTTGGAGATATAATTTATTTTTATACAAATACACATATTTCCATCTCCAAATCATATTTACATTCAACATTTCATTGCATTAATAAAATTTCGGTTTTCATATTTTTTACCAAAATTTGCAGACCTCTTGATCCAGCTTGCTTTATTCTGTTATCTGTATTTTATGCATATAACACAATAGAAAAAAATCCTTATTAAAAAACATATACTTCAATTTGTTCAACACCGCTAAACTTTGTCATAACATTCCAATCTCTTCTTTCAGTGTGTTGGAGTTATCTCTCTTTGAATACTTGTGATCTCGTTTTGCCTCGTTATATCTGTGATACTTTGTCCCTGATTGTTAATTAAAAGTGAAGAAATAATTATAAATGTTATTTATTATTACAAATAAAAATGGATTGATATGAAATGTTTTAGTTTTGTCATGTCTCGGACTGAGTGATTGGGAGTTAATAAGTAATTTTGAGTTTTGATTTTGAAGTTTCAAGGACTACCCTTGTTATACCTGGGAATCTGACTCAGTTCACATAGTGTCGTTTGGCCAACGGGATCATATTGATATTAACTCGAGGTCCTAATGTTGTGACTAGATATTTTAACTCATGGTTGACCAAGGTCATTTGCTACATGTATGTGCATGACATATGTCAATTTTGACTTGGAGGTCAAATACTTCAAAAAAGTATCTTTGTGGACAGTGTTTTGTGTGAAAAAAATCCTAAAATAATCAATAAATTTGTTCCGTGTTTTTATGGGACTATTTTTTTATAGTAAAATTTGACGTCACGGGGCCTCGTGCATTTCAAATCTACTAAATTAGACGGTATTTTGATTTATTTTCAGAATAATTGTTATTTCAAGTAAAAATGGACATATATGGAATCACTCTCTAGTTAGTCAGGGACTTCACTCATTATAATGCAAATTATCCCATGTTTCCCACTTTTGTTGATGCCCTGGCATAGTCTCCTAACTAGACACTAGTAGAAAGTGATTCTTTAAATACATGTCTATCCAAGATATTTAATTTTCTTAAGCTTTCCAGTCCATTCAGCAACAAACAACTTGTCTTTTTTGTCCCCACATAAACCAAATGGCTCTTTTAGATCACAGTTATCTATATAACGGAGGAACTGCCCGTCCTGGTCTAGGATGTGGATACATTGGTTATGGTAGTCTGCTGTCAGGATCTGTCTCTGGCTGTCTGTTGTAATACCACGGGGTTTAAATGGTTCATTCTTTGTAGCAGAAGGATGATCAGTGTATCTAAATCGGAGTTTCCCTGCTTGATTGACCACCACTACAGCACCAGCTTTATTGTCAGCTACACAGATATCCAGATTTCTGTTCTCAGTGACGTACTTAATGACGCCGTTTCCTGAATACAGAGGATTACCCTCCTCATCAAACTGGATTGTTTGTTTCTCTTTGGAGCCCGAGTAACGCACAACTTTAGGCTGTGTTTTATCATCACTGTACAAGGAAACCAGGAGTTCATCAGAGGAGGTGACACAGAGATTCTCAGGTACCCAGCCCTGAAGTCTTATCATCTCCTCTATCTGTCCATTCTTTACTTTATTCAACGTCTTTGTTTTCCAGTCAGAGTACACTAGATCCCCATCACCTGTCACTGCTATATCATTTGGCCCTTCACCTGATTTTGTTTTGATTGTCTTGATAAGTGAACTTTGAATGTTGAAGCATTTCATATCGCTGACTTCATATCCAGTTGTACAGATTTCTTCTTCACTAAGACAGGCAACACTACGGAGTTTTTTATCCCCAATATTTATTGTTGTTATAAGTTCTGGTTCTTCCAGCAGTTCTTTGGTTGGTGTTTCTGGTTTCTTCAGTTTGTAGCCATTTTCTTCTGTTTTCGTAGTTAATTCTGTTAAAGATCCAAACAATGTATAAAAATGTTCTGTATTTTTAGCCTTTCGACTGAACACAGGCAGTGATATCTTAACTTTAGGCGGAAGTTTGCTTAATTCTTTGATTTTAGAACTGTATTCCATAGTCATGGACACTTCATTTGAATCATCTATTCTATTTAACTGAAGCAAAGTTTGCTCAATTTGATTTATAATCTGTTTAATT